CTCCACTACGCGAATTTGTTCGCGCGACGCGAAGCGAAAACCGAAATCCGGCAACGTGATTGGTCGGCGAAAAAATTCGCGGCGAAAAAGTAGGATCGTTTCCTACTTTTTATCTGTTCGCGCGAATAAATTCGCCTAGTGGAGAACGGGCTTTAGGGCAAAAATGTAAACAAAAGCGCTGATTGGTCGAGAACGAAATTCCCCCTTGTTGTTCAAATAAAGAATGTAAAAGAGAAGACAAATCCACAACAGGAAACAGGATATGCTGCTGAAACCGTTTAAGTAGGTTCTTTTAATTAAAACTCGTTTACTGTATTAATAGAATTTTTGTCACGAAATACGGCAATTGTTGTATGAATGTTGTTGAACGCTGATTTTTGTTCGTCGCTATACAGTATGTATAAAAAAAGTGAACCCTTTCAAATTCAAATTAGCTATAACGCATTGTAGCAATTTGACAGCTCTAATTGCTTTGAATTAATGGTTGGGTAAGAACACAGGGTCTTGTAGAAATTTTAAAAGTTTTAAGAGTTTTGTCTCATGAGTACAAGACCTTGTGTTATTACCCAACCATTAATTCAAAGCAATTAGAGCTGTCAAATTGCTACAATGCGTTATAGCTAATTTCAATTTGAGAGGGTTCACTTTTTTTGAGACACTGTACAGGGTGTATAAAAAAGAGGGGCAACCTCGGAATTTCCCAAGAAATTGACATTGTTTTAAAGACAAAAGATTTTAGGTGCCTGGGAATTTAAAGTAGGACAAGTCTCAAAATTACTGCACACGCGAGTGCATAAAGCAAAATTTATGCATTGGACCGAGTTTGTATTAGTCGGCCGGCCAAGGTGGCAAAAAGTGCCTCTAAAGAGAGTTTGATGGCAACTTTATGTTAGAAGCTGGTAACAGGCATTTTCTTATAGTTCAAGCCTTGGTGAATAAGACTGTGTGTGTTACCACTTCTGATTTTTGCTTTATAGCCAAAAAATTGAGAATTTTAAAATTTTGCCTATTAAATTACTATGATGGCAAAAAATGTAAAATTTCATGTTCTCTTATACAAAAAATAAACTATACCACTAGAAAGACCGCAAAAAACTATATATATGATAATTAAGCAACTAGTGCGATTTTCAAGCTGATTTTGAATTAAAGATGGTTAAAGTTGGCAAAATGGGTACTAATTAGCATTAATTTGTCATTTCTGCATTTTTTGACATTAAAAACTCGAAATAGGATTGAAAAACGTAGAACTCACTTAATTGTCTTATATATAGTTTTTTACGCTCTTTCTAGTAGTATAGTTTATTTTTCGTATAAGAGAACATGAAATTTTACATTTTTCCAATCATAGTAATTTAATAGGCAAAATTTAAAAATTCTCAAATTTTTTACTATAAAGCAAAAATCAGAAGTGGTAACACATATAGGGCTTGGACTATAAGAAAATGCCTGTTACCAGCTTCTAACATAAAGTTGCCATCCAGTTGTACAAATTGATGACTTGGCCGGCCGTCTATATATCAGATATAAAGATCGGCTGCTCATGTTTTAACTAGTACTTATTTGAACAGCTGCAAAAAGTTTTTGATTTGCGTCAATCGAGAGATCCCTTGAGCCATACAAAACAGCTCTAATTTGCCTAACTCACTGCTGGATAACAAAGCTAGTGTTCCCTAATGTTTGGATAGCAGAAGAAAAAAGAACAGATCTTTGAACAGCATATCGAGGACATTTAACAAAATAGTGAAAGGCTGATCCTACGTTGTTTTCGTTAAATATTAATGATCCAAGTTGCACACGAATCCTTCCTATTACCTATACTAATAATATGGTATACCATGTTGTTAATATACCAAATCTACTTCTAAATAGTTCGTGTTCGTTACATCTATACCTTGAGGTTTCGTGTGGATCTAAGTTTTCACTCACAAACAAACGTGGTAATTCTGAGTTTTAAATTCACTTACAAACTCGATCATTGAATTAACATCTAATCTAAAATAATGAAATCGCTGGCCAATGTACTGCGGATTCAGGTTGAGTGTTTAATGACGTCACGATCATGTGAACGTTGCACGAGAAAAATGCGGGTGTTGTCAAATGGCAAGTTATTGTTGCAATAAGAGAATGCCTGTATAATATAGAAACAGTTTTTAAACAGGAGTTTTTCCTGGAAAATTCGTAGAAGTCGACGGCACGGTCGCCGAGAGTTTGGCGGGTGCCCGGGGCAAATATTTTTAGGGGCTCCTATTTCAAAAAATTTTCCGGACGAGTACGTTGTAATTGCTTTCCAGCGGCTTTACCTGAATTTTTCATACCTAATTTCGGTACTCTGCTCAAAAAACAAATATCTTGCCCTTTGCGCGGAAATATTTTACCCAAAAATTGACTGGACCGAACAAAAAATTTCTAGGGACAACCAGGATCTGGGGGCCCGGGGCAATTTGCTCCCCCTGCCCCCCCCCCCCCCCCCC